AGGAAATTTTTGYCCCTTGCCTGTGTATTCATGTATCCCTCAAGTGCACAGCAGCTTCATTTGAAACAAGCTTGGAAGTGTCCCTTGTTGTCCGGAAGGTGAAACGACAGCTGGGTGAGGAAAAATGGATCTTCATTTGGGCTAGATATAGGTCAAAATACTGCTGGGGTCAAGTGGACCTATGTCCTGATTCGTGAACAAGAACAGCTAGAAAAAACATTTCATCTCTACAGAACTGCAAATTAGATCAATAACTGTGTTTCCTTTCCCATATATTTATATTTAGCTCTTGGGAAGGCGTAGGAATATTTGACTTCTGTGACATATGTCACAGTTCTGAAAATCTCCTCCCATGTTCTTGGGGTAAGATCACCCTCCATGCTTCACTCTTATACCTTTCCATTGGTTTATAACGTTGCATTTGGCTTTATATCTTTGCATTGCCAAGTTACTGAAAATTTTGGATCTGAATCTTTCATTGTAAGTTCATTTTCACRGAGACCTCAGGACCTTCTTGGACATGACCTTGGAGATAAAATCTTTATTTCCAGCCKTTAGTCTGGATTGAGACTTACGTTGGGAAGGGTCTGGAATTTCAGAGTACAGTAGAAAATGAAATAAAGTAGAAAATTACTTGTGTAGAAAAATGGYTTGGTAGAAGAATGTTGAGCAGTACCAGACACTCCCTTGTGTGACGTGGTTGCACAGAGTCTGAGCTCATCTCACAGTCTGCCCCGTTAAGTCTCTGGGGAAAATCGTGGAAGTATCAGAAAAGATTTTTGCTGTGCTTGTATCACTTACCTTTCTTTGGGAAATTTTGGAGTGTAGTTTGTGCCTGCTGATGCCAAGCTATGAGAATGTCTGACTGGGATTTGGTTGGTCTTTCTTGGATTTGGTTGATTTTACATCTCAAAGTGTTCCTCTCGGTGGATGTRATATCCTTTTCAAAAAATCAGTGTTCTCTCAGTTTTCCCTGTGGTTTGGCTGGGGCAAAGGACATGCAGAATGCTGACTCTTATAATTAGGATTGTGAGCTACACACAGCCCAAAGATGGGAAATCTGTTTCCAGACTCTTCCTGTTGATTTAGTATGACAGAGCACCTGCTAATGCAGTGGAAAATTGTTCAACATAGAGGTCTCTATAAAGGGAAGAATTAAGTTTTACCCCTCCATCAACTCTTTGTCTTCATTTTGTCTCCATTTTTGTGACAGCACATTTTTTTGATATATGAGAACAGATTTGCTCTGTCACAGTGTATATTGTTCATTGTATTTCAGAAATTAAGTGTTTGTATTAAATTATTTTTCAAACAGATGAAGAAAAATGTTGTTTATCCTTTATCTTACTTTGATCTGCAGCACAACATTGACTTTTAGCRTTGTTTTCTAATAGAAAATCTAGTCTGTATGGACATGAATGCAATTTAAAAAAAAACTTCAAATTCTAATTGGAAGTCTAGATTAAAGAAAATAAGTAGATGGGAAGTCATCATTGTAACCAGACGAGTTACTTAATATCTCTTTTTTTCTCTTATACTATTCCATAATTCATATACAAATGGATCTAGATTATAAAGTTATTCCATAGTTTAATTAGAAGTTTGAAGAAAATGATGCTCTACGTTAAAAGATAACATGGTTACAACTCTGAAAAATAGTCAACTCAATTCTACATTGGCATCTAACTAGKAGGTTTAATTTTACAGAAGTTTCATGCTTAGGAGTTTCAACCATGGTCCTGATTTCTCAAAAGTGTGTTGCTTTTTTTGATATACTAATTGTAGATACCGGGTAGGATCAGCAGAGCTCCTAGGGGAGTTTGAAAGTCCCCTTTCAAAGAGGCGGAGATGGTTGGGCACCAGGCTTGTTGCTCTTCACTATTTCCCCTCTGAACAGAATAGGAGATCCCAACCACACAGATGCTTTTAAAGACAAATCTTTTGAATGGATTCATTTTCCTTGTTTTTGAAAATCCTGGTCCATGAGTGTAAAAATCATTTTTGGACTATATTTTTGGGGAGGAGGGTAGCTAAACTCCCCCAGATATTCTCAGAGAGTGAATATTCCTCAGTATTTCACATGGTATAAACCATCTCTGTTTGCTAATGTCCTTCATAGATTTTTTGCAGGAATTTAGGATTTGGATGGGAAAATGCTCAAGGGAAATGTAGTGCCGTAAGGACAGGACTCAAAAGTGTCTTCAGGATTTTGTTCTGTCTTAGGGTTATGACTGTGGAGCTACTGGAATATGGGGTAAAACTGGCATGTCTTGGGAGCAACATATCATTATAAAGACTACATGGTACCGTCTAGCAGAGGTGGGGTGTTAATCCAGAATCCTATCAGTTGCAGGTGTATGATGCATTCTGGTTGTCAAACAAATTTCCATATAATTTTCCTTTCTTTTATCATAAAATTATAGGATGATACTTAATAAAAACAACGTCCTTTTGACAAAAAGTCCTGTCATTTAGAGGATGTAGAATACAATGTTTGATTCTAAAATCAATTTCATATCACTTAGTACACTGAATTAATGATTATTAATTGTCAGTTAAGAATTTTAGGAAGTGCTGAAGACCTTAAAGTAATACCTTGATTTTAAATGGCACATCGATTCACCAGAAGGAGAAATCTGTAGCAAACCTRAAGAGGCTTTTCCTCAAATTCATATTGCCTCTTGTCCTATTGCTGGTCACTTCTGAAAAGAGTCTCGCCCCATTTCCAGGGCATTTCAGGCACATAAAATTGCCAAAGGTTGATCCCAGCCATTGAACCCCGTGGCTGCCCTATTAAGCGTAGGKAGATGCTAATGCAGGAATGCTGTGAAGACAGCTGGAATAGAGGCATTTCCCACAGCTGGGCTTATTACACAGAAGGATATAAAGGGATTTAGTTCATTTTGTTGTCTGAGAATGGCAATGAAATCCARATCAGAATGGAAGCTTTCTGTGTTTTTATAGTCTCATAAACATTCGGAGAGCTGTGTGATCTGTAAATGACCAGTRTGATTATGCTGCTTTGCACAGCCTGTAACTACAGGCAAAAAGATTGTTCAAGACACAGCTGGAGTAAAGTGCAGTGTGGAAAGCTGCGGCAGATGGGACTTAAGGGGCTGGTGAAATACAGCTGCCAGCAGAGCTAGGGTGTCTGAGCACCCTGGCTTGCAACTGAAGCTGGTAAGTCCTGAGCAGTCTTCCCAATAAAAGGATTTTATTGCAGTTTCAGACTCGCTAGCCCAAATATAAGGGTCAGGATGAGAACAGTATTTGGAGAATTGAATAGCTAGGACTGTGTGATAATAGGAAAGCAAAGATTAGGTCTTTAAAAGCACATTGGATTGCTTGATTTTATTCTGTTTTACTGCATGACCAATTGTGTGGGCTCTAGGCTGGAGTCGGTGGTGCTCTGACCAGCCATGTAGGTTACATACAAAAGGCAGAGCCCAAAGCAGCGACTGTCCCTTTACTTAAGAYGGTCTAAATGCGACCTGGACCACTGTCCTGTCTTTGCAAAACCAGACAAAATGCAGATTAACTTCTTACCCTTTGCTTAAAGGGTTACTTTTGCATGTAGACAAACTACCAAAAACACTTTGTGACAGCCTCTTTTAATCTCTTCCTAACTTCCTGCCCTTGTTTCCCTATTGCTGCTAACTACRAGAGCAGTCCTGTGTAAACAGAGGCTATTTCTTTCCCCATCAGTACYCTCTTCCTTTGCCTGATTCATCTATCCTTTGGCTTAATGATTCATGCGGTTGTTTCACAAGTCAGGAACCGAGCGTGAGGTCAGAAGCGCCCGCCTGTGTCATCCCCGTGGCAGGAATTAAAAAGGAAGAGCCTGGCCACGCAAGGAAGGAGCTGCTGTTTATCCCCGAGCATCTAGATAACYGGCGGTCACGAGGAATGAAAGGCAGAGAAAGTTCACGGTAGCTTAATGAGGTTGTGATCAAATATTAACAGGGGAAGAGCTGGCCCGAGCGCGGTGGTGTTCCCTCAGCCTGCTCCTGAGCTGTGAAAACAGAGTTTTCAGTGTGCAAGAGAGCAAAATAATTCACTGGTGGAAGAAAAAGGAGGAAACAAAAAGAAAGAAAATGCCCTGTATGTTTTTAGAAGGAAAATGCCCTGTATGTTTTTGTGTTCCATGTAAATAAACCCTGACCCTTCGGCTGGGAGACTTCGAGCTTGTTGGACAAGCGCTGGGTTGGGATGTGCTACTTGGGAAGAAATGAGCATGCAAGAAATAATAGACTGTGATGGCATAAGCAACGAGGGAGAGGCCCTGGCCACTCCTGGCAAYGAGCGCCTGGCTTCTCTGATGAGGTTTCTTTTGGTTTATTTGTGTTCTCCTCGCTGGGGTAACCGCGGGGAGGCTGCTGCGAAGGCAGATGCTCGGGCTTGYGTTTTAATCCCGTTCTGGGGCTCCCAGGCTTGCCCGTGGTGGTGTGTTGTGCCGAGCAATCCGGTGGGCATGGAAACATCCCGCAGCGGCTTCCCTGCCTGCATCACCAGGACGCTCCGGATGCTCCGCGCTGCCTCGCGGAGAGGACAGCGGCGGGGGCCCTGACCTCTTGTGGTRGCTGCGGAGCCCAGAAGTTGCTCCTGGCACTAGTTGGGTGATTTAGCCCTGAAAACGCCACGGACTTGCAGTATTTTGTGAAGTAAGTCTGCAGAACCTCCGGAAAGGGCAAAAGTGCCATCGGTGGCATCATGCAGCAAATCAGCAGCAGAGGCAGAAATAGGACCCTCTGATTTTCCACCTGTGTTCATGTCTCTGCTACACTATGGCTCTTGATTAAAATTGTTGTTTTTGGTAACACTGTAATATTTGTCTCAATGTGAATGTCTGCATGCGTTCGTAAGGCAATGAAAGATGCTAAAAGTGCCACTGCTGTCATTAATAGCAGCGGCAGAACTAGATGCCGTAGCTGCTTTTCAGTTAACACTTTCCTTCAGAAATGACATCACTTAAAACCAGGGTTTTTCTTTTCTTCTTTCAGGGGTGCATTCTCTGAAGTTGTTTTGGCTGAAGAGCGAGCAAGTGGGAAGCTATTTGCAGTCAAGTGCATTCCCAAGAAGGCGCTGAAGGGAAAGGAGAGCAGCATAGAGAATGAAATTGCAGTCCTRAGAAAGTAAGTATCAAACCTTCATTTCTTCTTCGCTTTGATTAGATACCTGCATTTAGAGAATAGGAAGCTCGATTGGCAGCTCACACTGACAGGTTGTGCAGCCCACCACAGCCAGGCAGATCACCTGAGTTTAACTGATGCTGAAAATGATTTGAGAAATGCTCCAGTTTCCTCSTTTTATTAATACAGCCAGGTGACCTTATCTACTAATGATTGCTGCAGTTGGGTCACTGGCTTTGAGGGGTGCAAAGTCAGGGTTATTATTTCCACCTGCTCTAAAGCAATCTATACRCAACTTAACCTAAGCTGACTAGACATAATACATCCTATTTTGCATACTGGTGGCAGTCTATATTGGGCACTCCATTCTTAGTGGGACTTCTTGCCTCAGCTCTTGGTTGTTTAGAAGCTGATGGCCGGTCATCTGAGCACCRTGTGACAAAACTGATCCTAAACCGTCAAAGCTGACTTGATCCTAAATATTTAAAGCTGGCCTGATCCTAAACCTTTAAAGCTGACTAGATATCTCTGCACTAAATGCTCAGACAACCTAAACCAAAAGACTGGCTTTGAGAGCAAGCTCAGCCATCCCAGYAGGCAGAAGGGATTGTTTTCAGCAGAGTAGCAGGGGCTTCAACATGTCTACAAGCCTCTGGTCCAAGTGCCTTTTCAGGACCTATGTTAGGTGACAATAACGTAAACCCAATGCTAGATCTCAAACAGACATCATTTGGGCAGAGGAGCAGGATTAAGTTGCATCAGAGAGAGGAAATCAACAGAAGGTTAAGAGAAAGAAATACATTTTAAGAAAGGCTGTTGCATGCATTTAAGCAGCATATGGCTTGCTGTTTAATGTTGCAAGAAACCTCTTGTAAAGCTCAACKTCTGATGAATCCATTACCAGGCAACAGCATCCACTATTTGGCAGTCTGAAAGAGTTCCTGTCTGTATGGAACCATCCCAAAGATRCTCACATGGGATTGGCAAGTTTGCATGCAGTTAGGATTGCCATGACCCTAAGATAGGAGAACAGAGAAATCCTTTAGGTCTTCTGTTGCTTCTATATTGTGAAGATTTTCTGTTCTCTGCACACAGTTTACTGAGAAAACAGGACGCAGTGCCTTGTCTGTGCTATTCAAACAGTGAGGGCTAAAGAGCGTGTGGGTGGAAAATTCTTTATTTTTGTACGATTAAATCGGCTTGGTATCTTGCCTGACGTGAGTAAGGACCATAAGAGAGTTTTTTCCATTTTTGTCTCCTGATGTTTCCTATAGAGCCATTCGCACAGAATCACAGAATGGCTGAGGTTGGAAGGAGCCTCTAGAGATCATCTAGTCCAACCCCCTGCTCCAGCAGGGACACCYAGAGCCCGGGGCACAGGGCGGCATCCAGGCGGGTTTGGAAGATCTCCAGAGAAGGAGACTCCACAATCTCCCTGGGCAGCCTGTTCCAGGGCTCTTGCTAATATAAAGCTTGGATGTCTTTGTATTTATTCTCAAAAATCTTTGCTAGCAGTCACAGTATTGAATTTGTATGTGCTGCTAAGGAAACCCATACAAAATAACAAAAAAAAGAAAAAGCCCACTTGGATCTGTTTACAGTTGAGGAGAAGTGATATCAATCTGTCTCCCTGTTCAGTCAACTTTCTGCTAACAATAGAAGGAGGTGGTCTTAGCTCCAAGGAATCTAAGTGTCCTGCTGTTGGTTTTGGTAGCTTAATGCTGAGTGGGGATAGCCAGTGCAGGTCTAAGGAGCGGGTAGGTTGCCCCAGGCTGACCTGCACGACCATCAAGAGTGGTCTCCTCAACCAGCTACGCACCCAACCAGCCAAGCTGGAAGGGGATGTGCACAAAGGATGCCTGCCAGTAGCAATTTGTTGTCATTCCATGAGAGGAGAGCAAAGGACATGGATGCAGAGCGAATGCAGATCTGCACATGTGCAGATGCTGGTCTCCCTGTGCATTCTTACATTGTGATTTTGGAGAGAGCTCAAACCCATAGAGATAAAAGTCTCCAAAAACTCCCTGTTCAGCTGAAATAGAAGCAAACTCCTTGCGTCCTCTTAAGAGAAGATTCACATCTGATACTGCCCTTTTCCCTCCTACACTCAGTCATGAAGTTTTGGTCGTTCTCTTGATGAGATGTTTACCAGGTATCTGTAGAGTGCCATGAAATGCAACAGTTCCTGAATTCCTGTGGTTGTCTGTCAAACAGGTGTCTGCCAGGGAGTCATGAACACTCACTGCTGCCTTTGCCAGCTCTCTAGCAAGATGCTAGTTCCCCTGTTTTTAGTGGCAGTCAGAGACTGTGCTGACCAGAACTGMTGCATGCAAGTATCACACATGCTTTGCACCTCAGACTGTTGTAGAGGAGATTTGTCCCCTTGTTAGTACAACTGAATCCTCCAGATCTGGCAGAATTAATATAGAGAAGAGTTTGGAGGATATGTTTTGAAGTAGTATTTAAAATAACATTTTTAAAGTTTAGGATTAATGTCTATGCATAGAGTGTTATGGAAAATAGAACCAGGTGGTGAAAACATGAATTCAATGGGCAAAACTCAAATCTCCTCTCACTGCTGCTGTTGACTTCCTTGTGTGATCTAAAGTATCCTGTGTCTTAATTTACCCTGTTGTAATTAGCTCCAATTAGTATTTATTGTCTGTGAAACAATTGGAGACTGTTAAATAAGAAGTTGTGCCTGCAGTTCCTTTTGCAGTCATTTCTCATGTCTGCAGACCCAGGAGTCTTCTTTACACGAAGGGAAGCTTCTGGGCTGGACTTGTGGTACATTGTCATCCTGATGATTATCTGCATGTCTCAGACATCAGCAAAAAGCTTTTGGAAGCATTAAGCAAATWTTCTGTATTAGGAAAGGTCAGCATCCCCCATGTGAAATAGAGGGAAGGTAGAAGACTTAATCTCTTGGATTCTTTCTGTCTGGGGGTTGGACACTGTGGCTGCCAAAACAAAATGACACATTTTAGAAGCGATGTTCTGCTAGCAGAGGAGCAAGCTGCCAGCCAACTGATCTGCATGTTTGTGTGAGTGCCAGAGTGAATCATGCACACTCGATCATTTTATTTTTTTCCAGCCATGGCCAACAAATCTGTTCTTAAAAAAGAAAAAAGACGGAAGAGCCGTTAAGTCAATATTTACGCCTAGCAACCTTAACAGGGTTCTTCCAATATGGACTCTTTTGTTTCCAGTTGAAATCCATGGCAACATTCCCCAAAGACTTGGATAGGGTGGGGACACAGCGAGGAAAGAGTTTACGTCTGAATGCARTATCAGGAGAGAGTAAATCTGCAGTTAATCTGGGAGCCTCCGCCAGACAGATTCCTCCAGCTCCATCTTAGTAAAGTATTTAGCATGAGCCTAATTTTAGACTGTAACTCATCCCAGTGAAATCAGTGAGTAGTCTGAACTTACCTTGCTTAACTCAGGCCTGTAAGGGTGCTGCTGAGAAGGGTGAAGGAGCCTGTAGGCACCTGTGTTCAGTAGTGCACCAGGAAGGGAGCTCACGTGGTCTTCAGCCTGTGCCCAGATGATGTCCTGATGCACAAGCATTGCTATTGCTTGCAATGGACAGCATGCTGCTTGCATGCAGCTGGACATGGTGCAAAATCATAGCATCATCCAATCATTATGTGTGGAAAAGACCTTCAAGATCATCAAATCCAACCGTAAACTCATCACTACCATGCCTGCTAAACCATGTCCCTAAAAGTCTCATCTGCATGTTTCTTGAGCACTGTCATGTTGCATTTATCACAGCATTGGGTGAGAACCTGAGCTGCAGCGTGTGCAGGTTGCTCAGTGATTCCTCCCTTGAGCAACAGAAAGCATGTGCTATGTTTTAGAATCAGTTACAGGAAGAAAAGTGGATGTCCTAAGTAGAACCATCCTGGATCCATCAACTGCCTGCAGGGAACTGTAGCATGTGCCCACCCTGAGGCTGCACAAACTCTTTCTGACCTGAAGTGGAAAGTAGGAGATGTGGGGGTTCAGATCCTACCCCGAAGCAGCTGCTTTRTGGTTTTAAAGCAAAAAGGTAAATTCTGTCCCTTCCATTTTTTTTGCTATGGAACAGTGGAAATTTCTTCCACGTATGGCAGTTGTGGAGCTGTGAACACGCTGAAAGATGAATTGACTGTTAGGCTGGTTCCTGAAGGCAGGAGGTGATATGAAAGCCTGGACTGCAGAAAAGTGCCAGTTTGAGGCTGTAGCTGAATAAAACAGAACAACCTTAAAAGAGGCAGGCAGAGAAAAATGTGCCTGATTTCTTCTTGGCCACAGCATTGCTAATTGCAAGGAACCTTCTAGCTGTGCTGCCCATATAAGAACTGCATATAGATCCAGTGCTGGGTCAAAATGAAGTCAGGGGAGGAAGACTAAAGTGCATTCAGCTCTGCATCCAGGTGCATAGATTGCTTAATAGCAGTGATGTGCCCAAGTAGGTGTGTTGTGAAGCAGATACTGTTTAGCTGGCAAATCCTACTCTGCATTAGCTAGTTTCCACTGAACAAGGATTCTTTTTCCAGTCTCTTACAAATTACAGAGTTATCTGCTCCTCTCACCTCCTCTTCTCCTCTGGGAGAGGCACCATTAAATTCTTCATTACAAATCACAGCCATGCCTAATTGCAGACTGAAGCCATTTTTTTTCCCGTGAAACAACATGATCAGACTGTTTCTAAGCAGGTCAGCTGAAATTTTGCCAGGGCTTTTCATTGCCTTCTCCTTAGAAGACCTGGGGACCAGCTATTTMGGCAGTGATTCATGCTCAGGCATTTGCCATCTCCTCATGTGCCCGCACCTACAGCCGGGAGCTGCTGCCATAACATGGCAGAGGTGCCAGCACAGCCTCTGTGTAGCCTGGGAGGCTTCACCAGGACACGCTCCTTGCAAAATCTAGTGAAAAACGGCRGTGAAAAACCTCCCTAAATTGGAATCGAAGTGCCCTTTTTGGTAGCCCAGCAGCAATCTCCCCCCAAAACTTCT